CCCCCCCCCCCCCCCCCCCCCCCCGTCCCCCCGGCCTCGCCCCCCGTCCCTCTGGTTGTTTCCTCCCCGGGGTCCCTTGGCAGGTGGCAGGCAATGGCGCATGCCAACGTATGGGGAGCGCACGTGTATTCCACCTGATCGGGTCATGCGTCATCGGGCTCGTCCACCGAAAAGGCCGCATCCGGTACCAGGGGGTCCAGCTGCTTCCAGGCGCTGTCTAGCAGGGTGGGGCAGTCATCCGAGTGCAAGCCAAGGCCTGGGAGGGCGAAGGGGACAGAGAAAGAGAGAAGGAGAGGGGAAGAGGCCGGCAAAAGAGGCCGAGAGGGTGGGCGGGGGAGAGGGAGCCGGGGTCAGAAGGATGGTGGGAGGAAGGAGGGCGCCGCAGACTGGGCGCATACACCTGGGGCTACGTACTGGCGGCAAGGAAGAGGGCATTGGCGGTGAGCGACCCGCCCGTCGCGTCGAGCAGGCCGGCCACATCGCGCGCCAGGCGAGCCTTGGCCCAGGCCGGGTCCGAGCGAGAGAAGAGGTTCCCCGGTGTGAAGATTGACCGTGCCAGGGGAAGCCTGTGCGGCATCAAAGGCGTGTGCGTGTGTGTGTGTGTGTGTGTGTGCGTGCGTAGGAGGGGGGATAGCGGGGGGAGTCGCGGAGAGGAGGGATCGAGGGTTGTCAGTGTGAGAGTACGCAGAGACGCCCACGCGGGCGCGAATCGGCGTACCAGTTGGGCAGGGGCCACTTGCGTGCCAAGATGGCGGACATCTGCACGGCAAATGCCTGTCGCCGGGGGCTACTCACGCGTGGGTCTAGCATCCGGGGGATGACGGCGAAGCAGCAATCTATCGAGGTGCATCGCAGGCAAGCGGCAGATGGGGGATGGAGATGGTGAGGCATGCGAACACATAGCACGGGCCACGGGGCACAGAGGGGAAGGGGGGGGGGGGGCAAACGGGTGCGAAGAGGGAAACGAAGACACGCACGCATGGCTGGCACGTGGCGTACAGCCCACATGCCGCCGGCGTGCGGAACGCCTTGGCCGGCGTGCAGGCCTTCGGCCAGGTCCGGATAGAGGATGAGCAGCTCGTTGAGCCGCCGCCCGGCCACCTGGCGAATCTGCGGCAGCGGGAGGAGTTCGTGCACATCCAGCTGGCCGACCGCCCCCGGGAGCAGGGTCTCCCAGGCCTTGGTGGTGCCAAGCTCCAGGAGGATGTGTGCCGCGGCGGTGACTGTGGTGCGGAAAAGGGCGGCCGAGGCTTCGGAGATGGTGGTCAGGTGCTATGACGGGGATCGGTCGGGGAGTTAGATTGGGTTTGATGTGCCGGGCAGACACGCGGACGCACGCGCGCTCAGAGTGATGAGGATCGGGAGGAGGGAGGGCAAAGACGGGGGGAGGGAGGAAATGTGGTTTGCACATACCGACTTGTCGGTGCCCACCGACCGCTGGCGGACTTCCGAGTAGGTGTTGTCGATGTGCACGCGACATGCTTCCAGGTAGCCGGAGAAAATCTTTTCCCACACCATTGCACTGTCAGACCAGGGGCAAGGGGGGG